GCCCTCTCCAGGCTGCTGGAGTCAGGTGTCACATACTGCCTTGCTAAAGAAAAACAACGTATGAACATTCGAGAGTTGCCAAATGTCTCCGGATAAAACGTGTATTTTTTTAGAAAAGTTATGCTTCTTTTCCCTCGAAATGTTCAGATATTTTAAATTAAATTGAGAACAACATTGTCTGAAACTTTTTAAAAAAAAAAAAACTTATGTCAATTTTTCGTAGTATATTCATTTTTTGTTGAAGTAAACATGGCAACGTCTGAAGGCTCTTACGGTGTTTTTCCTCAGCACGTCAACGTAGTTCCCCGCGAACAAGTCTGAAGGAGGTCGAGAAGAAGCAGGGGTTTACGTTCGGAGAAATTAATGCGCAGAGACGAAAGCGAAAACCGCTCTGAAATTCATTTGCCAACGGAGCGCAGATTTTTTCCGTCATGAATACGAAACGGAGGGATAAATACTTGGCGCTTGGTCGCAGAAATAAAGGTTCTAAGAGTTGCAGATAGTGGTATGTTTGTTAAGTTCTCATCTGCATAATTTCATTTTGAAGTCGCATTAAATATTGCAAGAGTCGAGTTCTGTTGATAGAGCCCCTGCTAATTGGTTATTCAGAGCTTTATAGCATCCTTCCCCCTCCTCGTCTACCCCCATCCCCTTTACACCTCCATCCCTCCCGCCAGATCGAGCAGGGCGGGTGTCGAGGAGGCCCTTCGCTTACGGTTTGTTTCACATGCGAAATTAACTACATTTTGCAATAAAGAACTATTATTTTCGGTTCATTTTAGAATCAGCATATATGTCATGATTTCTCTAAGCTACCGTTCAAGTATCACTTAAGTCCTTTTGGCTCTTGTCTTCTCTTTGAATTACGTATTCTGAGCGTGACTTTCCCTCTCTCCCATTTTTTTCAAAAAAATTCTACCATCATTTCAGAATCAACATATGTGCCATGATCTCTACGAGGCCGTTTGAATATTACCTAAGCCGTTTTGGCTCTCATCCTCTTTTTAAATTACGTAAGCTGGGCTTGACACCCCCCCCCTCAAGTTTTTCTTAAAAAAACAGAGTCAGAAAAATTTCTGAAAAAATATTTTAATTGGAGAATTTTTTCTTCAATTTTTTTTTGAAAAAAGTGAGAGATCTTTCAAGTCTAAGCCAAACCTCCTTCTCGTAAGAACCCATAAGTTCATCTCAGAACCCCCTCTTTTCAAGTCGCTTAGGTAATACTTGAACTGCCCCCAGGGATCGTCGGCCACAGGCGAACCGTTGAAACGACTCTTCCCGGCGCTGAAACGCGAAAAACACAACGAAGAGAGCAGAGGAAACTAAAATTAAACCGAAACAATGCGACAAGTCTTAAAACATCACTCCGACATGTGACAAGAGGGGCTGCAAGGAGAGGGCTGAAAGGCTGGCCGGCGGGGGGCGGCGGGGGGAGCCGCACCTTTTATCTTGCAAGTCCAACACGACTAGGACTCCGACTGACAAAACCCATTAGTCAACGACTTTACTCCCCCGCGCCCTCCCCGCGGGCCCGACCCTGCTTTTTTCGTAATGGATTCTCCCATTAATCTCTATTTATCCGAACGTTAAAGTGCTAAACTGTTCCTTTTTAATTCAATTTACATAGCGGAGACGACCGGGGTCCTCCCCCTCCCCCCGGCCCGTGTATTATGCACTGACATCTGAGACAGACCTCGGTACCGTTTTCACGCCGACTTGCACCCCGATCGTAATGAAACGTCATGCCCCTCCGCTTTCAGTCCAGCGTAGCGCGACGCACAATAGAGCGAAGCAATCGGAGAAGTCGGACACTCAGTGGAAGCTTTCAAAGCTTTAAATCTTACTCAATACGAAACTTCGAAGTTTAAAGGGGGTTTTAAGGGTTGATTCGCAAAATTCTTTTTCAGAGACACCCCTTGAAAGTTTTAGTAAGATGAAATAAATATCAGAATCTTCGGTCAAAAATTTCGTGTCCGATTGCTCTCGAAAGCTCGTTCCAGTGTGCGGCGGGCCGGACGCGGTGTCCTTTTTATTCGCGCTTGAGCTCGGTCCGCAACCTGGAATTATGGGATGACGATTGCACTCCGGGATGTCAGAATGCACCGGTGTGAGAAATGTAACTGCGGATGACTGTTGACCCTAAGATTGGAGCACTCCTGACGTACGTCAGATGAAAACATTTCAGGAATCGGAAGAGAGAGAAGAAGAAGAAAGGGGAAAATAAGAGGATACAGCAAAGGACAATGAGGAAAAGAAAGGAGAAAAAGAGACAGAGAAGGGAAGAATAAAGGAGAGGAAGTCCCCAGTTTTCATGATGATGGCTACGTTCTTGACTGGGAATATCCCTGATGGAGTTAAGTGACAAAACTCTGCCTGCCGTCTGATTGACCAAAGGAACAGACTGCGGATGACTGTTGACCGAAGATTGGATGACTCCTAACGTATATCAGATGAGAACGTTATAAAATCAAAAGAGAAAAGAAGAAGGGAGGGTAAAAATAAGAGTGGAAATTAAAAGAAAAAGAAAAAGACGAGGAAGAATAGAAAGGGAAAAAGAAAATTAGACGAGGAGGAGAGAGGATGAAGAGGAAGGAGTCCCTAGTTTTTATAATGCTACATTCTTGATTGGAAACATCTCCAAAGGAGTTAAGTGACAAAGTTCTGCCGTCTGATTGGCCAAACCACTAGATTATTTCAAATTCTGAAGTCATGTGACAAGATTCCGAGTTTCGATTGGTCAAAAATCAAAGAGTCTCATACGAAATCAAGGACCTTTGACTTTTGACGACACGACATGACCTATAAATAAGAGGTTTAGACGTGATCCTTCCGTTGGCAGGGTAAAAAAATACTTTTATCTGCAAAGGGTGCTCAAAGTAAGTAGCATGATATGGTCATTGATGCGAGCGACGTGAGAAAGAGTATGATTAACAGCAGGAGCAGCGACTGGATCAAAGGTGCATTTTCACGGTGATTCTTTGACACCCGCGAGGGAAAGGGTAGGGATGAAAAGTTTCAAAATGAAAGGGATGAAGGTCTCGGGGAATGCTCAAGAATTAACGTTCGTTCATTACTAGAGGCTTACTGTTAGAATGGAATAAAAAGAAAAGTTTATATCGCCTTCACTTAGCCGTGTAGGCAAAAACACTCCCACCAAGTTAAAATAGTTATCTACTTGAGACTTTGCTCTTTCCTGACGGTGTCATAACGTGTATGCTCCGTTACCATGAGTGAAAGAGAGAAGAACCATTTGTAATCAATTTTACGATGAAAAGCCACTACTTCTCGCTCATTATAGAGACACTGTAAGTGCTCTAAGTTTCTCTCTGCAGGTAGGTATTTTTATAGATGAGCAGGAAAGAGTAGCTCCTAACTTAATGAAGCACAATCAGACGTTACCAACTGAATTGGCTGACTCTCCCTTATATTTTATTTATTAACATGAAAATCAACTAACTCTCTGCTTTGAAATTTCGTTACACTGGAAAAAAAAACACATTGGATCTAGAGTCCAGACTCTTGAAAACATTGACAAGAAAAAGGGCTCTTGATTCAATCAGATTTAAGCTTTAATTAAAAGGAAATCCGCTCAAATTAAGAGGCTTGGTTCTTGATTTAAGCTTAAATCTGATTGAATCAAGAGTATTTTTTCTTGTCGATGTTTTTAAGAGTCTGGACTCTAGATCCAATGTGTTTTTTTTTTTCCAGTGTAAAGCATTCTTGAAAACTTGAAAACCTTTGAAAAAGTTGAAGTCTTGATGAAATTCTTGGAAAGTTTCAAAGCATTATCTTGCTGTCTCCTTATGTAAAACAAAATAAATATGATGGGAAATCAAGCAACTGTAAAATTAATTATTTTTTTCCCAAACCCACCAGAATATGTAAAGTCACTTCGGCGGAATATGGCATTTTTTATTATTTTCGTGAAAAATATATATGTATAACCTGAACCCTTTCATCTCAAAGCATAGGTCACCATCAATGTGTTTCTGAGTTAGACCGTACTTTTCAAAAAGGTAAAAATTTACTGACGTGCAAAGAGAGGTTACACCACCATAAAATAAACTTCCAGTTGGAATACTAGTCGAGATAAGTGTTGCCGGCGTGGTTAATGACATTTTCCGGAGTGCTTTTTTCCGTGTAATTTGTTGGAGTAATTTCATTTTTATTGCATATTGCGGTGAAGTTTTATTAGGGGCAGGCAAGACAAACATTATCTCAGGAGAAAAACGGAGTAAAAAATAGGCACTGTCCAATCTTGGAAGCACTGAGCCTGACTATTTCCTTGGCTTTGTGAGGTGCAAAGTTATTGCAAAAACATTTGACTAGTGGAGAATCTCTACCGTATTTCCATTGGTTGGAGTCTTCTTACCAGCTCTCAGGAGTTAATTGTAGAAAATTTCAAGTACGGAAGGGTTGCTGATCTTTAAAAAAGTAAAAATAAGAGCGAGTTTGGATGAATTGAACTCAAAGAATTTGCCCCTAGAAGAGAACATTGTAAAATAGGTCTGTGTTTTGAAAATCAATTATATTTAGCATACAAAAATCCTTAAAAACACACCGCCATGTTTTTATGTTGATCCGGAGCTCATACCATCACCCGCCAGTTCCGGCAAAAATATCACAAGCACCATGCGACGTTTCAAAATGTTCACCGCCATTCTATTTTTGACGGAGAAAATGTTGGTTGAATCTGTTCGAAAATTTCACTGAATGTTATCGGCAGCGCAAAGAAAAGGTGAAATAGGTTCAACAAACGATTTCTCTTTAACAAAACAAAATGGCGGCGGAAATTTTTGAATGTCGCATGGCGCTTGTGATACTTAAACCTTAGGAGGGCAATATGCGGAATTTAATTATAAAATGAGCAAAGAAACTTTCACAAAGCTTCAAATAAGTTTTTCTCAAAATTAACATTTTTCAAAGACGCCCTTCTACGGGGAAATTCCTCAATTGACAAACATGATTCCTGTCATCCATTTTTAAAATGGTCAGCTCACCTGTATATAGGGATGCCGTCACTCTCGCGAAACCACAACACCATGTGAGGAGAATCCTCGGCGCTTGTTGCAGAAATGTCACATGGCAGGCCCGCTTTTCGATCCACAATTCCTTCCACTCGGACCATGGGAACTGTAATCAAAACATTAAATAATGTTAGAATTCATGAAGGAAAAAAATAATCTTGAGTGCAAGATAAAGGCGATAACCAGTTATAATCACCGATGACACATGATTGACTTGCAATTTGCGACTAATAGCAACTTTCTACGTTGAATATTGACCAAGATATCGCGCCTTAAAGAAGTCGATTTATGACGTCATTCTCCGCGGTGGCACATATCATGTTATGGACTATCGTGGTGGATGACGTCAAAAACCCGACTTTTCGAAGGACGATATCTCGGTTGATATTCAATGTAGAAGGTTTCTGTTCGGACGCATCTTCTTATTTTTAGGTAATCTACAAGAACCGGGCCTTAAAACACGATTCTGTTACCAGCACAACTGGCCAATTTACAGTTTTGACTTTTGAAAACATGGTATCTGTAGAACCTTTGAACCCCCTCCCCCTTGTAACTCAACGTGACGCTGCACAGTGGATCGAGTCAATAGGAGAGGTCGGACAAAATTTGAAAACTTAAAAAGCTCATAACTCCGTCAAATCGAAACTTTGAGATTTTAAAGGTGGTTCTATTGGTTGCCTCGTGGAATTTTCTTTTCAAAGCACCCCTTAAATTTTAAAATGTGACGAATTAAACATCAAAATTTGCATTTTTAGTCAAACCTCTCTGATTGACTTGATCCACTGTGCGCTGGATTAACTCCCCCCCCCCCTTAAAGTGCGTTACGTAGTACTTGAACTGCGCCCCTTTCCGGTCTGGACAGCACACTGAAAAAAAATCTCGGTGTATTTACTAAGAAAAGGGTAAAATTACCAAGAATTCAGGTTTCTATTTGATCCCAGTTTTTTCTTGGTAAAATTACCATCTATGGAATTGGTAATTTTACCGAGAAATCTCGGTAAAATTATTGAACTTTCTCGGTAATTTTACTGGACCTTGGTAAAAACGCCAATATTTTTTATCGACAGCGGTAAAATTACCGAGATAAAATGTCAAAGGTACCGGGAATTGATTACCAATAAAAGTGGTATTCTTACCTGAAAAAAACAGTAAAAATACCGGTTTTTAGGTAAGCTTACCAGTCTGTCTTGGTGAAATTACCAATAATTGGTAAAAAAAAGTGAGATGGTAAAGGTACCAACGGACCTTGGTAAAAACGCCGAGAATTTTTTTTCAGTGTAGTTGCCTCGTGCAATTTTCTTTTCAAAGCACCCCTTAAATTTTAAAATGCGACAAATTAAACATCAAAGTTTGCATTTTTAGTCAAAAATATAATGTCCGACCTCTCTGATTTGCTTGATCCACTGTACGCTGGATCAAACCCCCCCCCCATCCTTAAAAAGCGTTACGTAGTACTTGAACTGCCCCTTTCCGGTCTGGACAGTATGTTCGAAAATGATGAATTTCACAGGAGAACCGGCAACGCGGGTGAGAAGGGATGATGACTCAAGGGAGCACGTGAGGAGACAAGGGTTGCTGCGAGGGAGCATGTCTGGAGCTCTTCACTTTATCATCATCAGTCTTCATAAGAAGCTGCGGCCAAGTTCCCTCGACCGAGCCCGATGCGATGCAGGATGCAGCAGAGACAGATTTTGCCAGCCGCATCCGCTTATCGCATTCCCGCACCTCTCACGCTCCCAGATTCGCATCGCGGAACTTCCTAACTTCTGACCGGCGGAAGTTTTGACCGGTAGGTTGAGCGGCTGATCACCCGGAAAATATCCTGATATACGGATACGATACTTCGCCATGAGCCCTCGGGGGTGCGGGGGTCGTCCAGGAAGTAAGTTTATCCATTCAATATCTCCTAAACTGATATAGGTAGACAAAAGCGGTAAAAAGTTCTAAAAAGTCACTATTTTCAGCTTTTTAATGCGCTCCAGATTTTTAAATTTGGTATCGTAGCAATCTAGAAAAGTGGAATTTCCTGAACCCTCTTCCTCTCCGCGCGGGTCCAAAATAACACCACTTTTTTGGATTTCTATGAGATAAAATTTAAAAATTTGTAGCGCATTTAAATGCTGAAAGTTGTGGCTTTTTTAATTTTTTTACAGATTGTGTCTATCCATCTTAGTTTAGGAGATATTGAATAAGTAAACTTACTTTCTGGACCAGTGTTCGAAACTCACAGGTGCCAACGCGCCAAATGCGCCTAAAAAATCGGCCATGGCGCCTAAAAAATGAAAGCTTTGCGCCAACGTGGCCCCTAACAATTGCTCCCTAAGAATATGAATTTTCATATTAGGTGATAATTCGAAATTTTCTGCACCACAAGTGAAAGCTTTTTATATTCTTCACGATTTCATCGTTTGTGCTTTTGTGTTCCCCAAGTTACAGCTACTTACTAGTTCTGTTACGAAAACATCTTGCGTCTAACTTTTCACTAAATGCACCGTAATATATAGGCAAAAAGTCAATTTGGCCCCTAAAAAATCTTCAATGGCGCCTAAAAGTTGAGCTTGATGCGCCACATGGCTCGCCTAACACTCAAAGGTGAGTTTCGAACACTGTTCTGGACGACTTTCGTACCTCAATTCTTTGCTGGGCTCATCATCAAGTATACTCATTTCTGCCAAACGGAACTACAGACAAAGGGGAAAGATAATTTGTATTCTACAAAGCTGCATAATAAACAATGTAAAAGTGGACGTGATTCCCTTTGAGGAAATGGAAAAGCGGGATTTCACATTCTTCCAAACGGAACCAAACGCCAACTGTATGCGTCACTTGTGAGCCACGAGCGTGTGACAAGAGCGTTGTAGACAGGGTTCATGAGTTAAAATGCTCCAACACCGACCTTCTCGTCGTCGCCACTGACGTCACTGGCGATATATAATTCCAAATCTTTCTTTTGCCCCTCAATTAACGAGCACACTCCTTTCCTGCCTGTCACTGGTTCCGTTCAGCAGAAATAAGTCCAAGTACGATTAAGCACTTTTCATCAATCTTCTAGCATAAGGGCGTATCTCAATTTTTACATGAGCCCCAGAAAGCTTATATTTATGTGTAAAACAAGGATCACGTGGAAATGGACATGCGTCCTTTTGTCAGAGGGGCGACAATTTGTCAGCCAAGTGAAGAAATCTCCGATCTGTTAAGCTGTGTTCGGTAAGAACTACATACGAGTATTATTAAACTTAGGGAACCAAAAAACTTGGACTTAGGATGGAAGGAAATTATTTTGAAGTTTCATCCTTAGGTAAGACTCTCTGTGAAAAACAAACTTCCATTCAAATGCGTACTAAATATATATCGACGGTGTAAGTCGGCAATCACATAACTCGGAAAACGCGATTTTTCAGGAGAGGGAGAAAACTCTCTACATTCCTCATCTTTGAAGGTAGAGGAGAAATAATTCTTAGAGACAGCAAGGATAAGATGCTTCATAAGACTCTATCATCATTTTGAATAATATTCGCGTCTGTCAGGAGAAATGACCGAAAAACCGAGTTATGTGTTTGTGGAACTAAGGTCCAACACTGAATTCCGAGATACGTGGTTGGCGAATACTGATTCAAACCTATTCTTTGCCGATGCTTACTGAATAAATACCAAATAAGACTCCTCTCACTTTAAAAGTCACCTAAAGTTCCTTTTAACAAACTTTAATTGGTAGCGAATCTTTAGAATGACACCGGAAAACAATTCGACGGCGTGAGTCGGCAATCACATAACTCGGTTTACGACGTCGCAGACTTCCTGTCACACTTCATTTTTTAAACGGAAAACTACTCAACGGCAATTCTCTAAAACTGCCGTGAGTTTTCTTCTCTATGCGAAGAAAAGTCTGTATAAACTGGAAGGAATGATGTCAAATGTGTCGAGGTTCTCCTTTAAATTTTCAGACACCGTGAACGAGATAATTATGTGATTGCGGACTTACGCCGTCGAATTACGAATTAAAATGAAATGAAGATAAAAATAAGCGGACGATTACTCAGTTATCCGTCGGATTAGATGTTTGATGTTAAAAAAATAACAATGTTTTTGTTGTCTGAAGATTCCGTGACGTACTAACTTTTAATTTTCCCTCCTAAACTGTTCACGATTCTTCCCGAGAGAGCGCGCGTTGTGTAAAAATGCGGCGCGACGGCACGGGTTATGTGTTATTGGAATTAACGCCGAGATATGTGTTTTGAGTTCTACGTTTTTAGGTGACTTCCAGATTTTTTTCAACTGAAATATTTTGACAGCAGGTAAAGGGCATCTACTACACTTCATTTCTGCAGCTGACTCAAAAATCGAGTTATGTGATTTCTGACTTACACCGTCGAAATGTTCTCCAATAATTGTTCGATTTATAGAAACCAAAGATTTTCTCGTACTCAATTTTCAAGATGAAAATCACAAAATTTAAGACACCTGCATATTCTCTATTGAAGCTTATTATGTGAGTTAAATTTGCTCTCTTAGAATAGACAACTATTCGAGCTTCCCGGTAGGTTTCCATTCTTATGCGGAAAATTGAAGGCGAACTCTCAGGTGGACTAAGAATTGATGCGCAAGAGATTGCATACTTTCCAGGCTGTCTTTAAAAACCACGCATTATGAGTGCTTTCGAGCCACTCTAAAAAAAGCAGTAATCTCCGGGTTTTCCGGACCTGTAGAGTGTAGACACACTTATCTAGGGAGAGCGGGTTCAGCTGGAGAATATCTCTCATCGATAACCGGAAAAATTAATCGGCAGAAAAAATGTTTGAGGTCAATACTCAAATCCCGTCAGACCGAACTCTGTCTTGCGAGAGAACGTCTTATGAGCCCTCGGACGTTGCCAAAATTCGTGTGATAAAACGGAACTTTCATGGGAAATTTGTGATTTTTCCCCCTAATGGAGAGTTTGCACGCAAGTTTTTTATTGCTTCATCTGAAAGTGCCTAAAGAGCTGATTTTGCAGTATTTCTTACAAAAATTTTCTGCGATGGGAAATAGTATAAAAATAAATTTAAAAGTGAGAAAATGCACCACCTAGTGACGTCATCTGGCGGCATTTCACATTTAAACACATGT